GTAATATGCTACTCTGGAAATATTCATTTTGTACTCAGTTTAGCTGAGGAAACATACTGTTTTCAGTCAATGACCTATAGTAAAGTTATACACCGAGAGTTCTGTAAATTGTGTAAGTTCTGAGAGTTCTGTAAGGGACCCTCATTCAGCTAGTAGTGTCAGGAAGCAGTTCTGGGAAATGTGAGGACTGAACCAATCTTGAAGGATAATAAGATAGAATTTGGTGAATACCTTTCAAAAGAGTACTGCAAGTAGGAGCTGGAGCGGTAGTACAGCAAGAAGCGTGCTGGTCTTCCACATAGACGACCCAGGTTCAATTCTTAGCATGACATATGGTTCCCCTGAGCCCGCCAGAGCGCAAAATCAGCAGTAAGCCCTGAGCATCACTGCGTGTGGCACCCTCCTCATGGGAAGGGGGGGAAAAGTTTCAGAGCAGGACTTCAGAGCCATCCTGTCCGGACTGAGTTGGGGCCACTCCTGACAGTTCTCATCCTGGATGTGCAGTGCTCCAGCCGCTGCTCTAGTGCAGCTCAGGACCCTGCCAGAGCCACAGCCACAATGTTTGGGGAGCCATGCATTGCCAGGGTTCAAACACAGAGCCTATCATGTGCAGGGTGAACTAGCTTCCCAGCCCAATGTAGTGGTTATTATTTGTGGCAATTTTCTCTTCACTTAAATGTACTGGACCTGGGAAGTAGCTCTGAGAGCTGGAGGCATAGCACTGGCTTTCCGTGCTGGATTCCTGGTACCTCCTAATTTCCCCAGCTCTGCCAGGTGTGGACAGAAAAAAAAAAAAAGAAGCTGGGTTCCCTTCAGATTTGGATGTCAGGAACAGAGCTCAGTCTCAGTGGCAGAGCATGTACCTCATATTTATGAAGCCCTGGGTTTGCTCTTTGGTGGGAGCGGAGGGCGGCACTAAGGGAAGCCCACCAAACATTTGAAGGTGTCATCGTAAGGAATTCAGGTTTTTCTGTCCTGGATATCTTGCCGAAAGATTGTTAACCTTGGGCCAGGAAGATAGGACAAAGGGGTGAAGTGCATGGCTTGCATACCTGCAGCCTAGAATTTGATCCCAGCTTGGCCTTGGCCCCTGACCACCGGGTGTAGTGCTGCGGAGGAGGGGCCCTGTCTTTTGAAAGTAGACATTTGTTAGATTCTTAACTGTAGCCTAATTTTATCCACAATGTCAGGTACTCAGTGATTTTTTTTCTGGCCTTTGCTTTTCATAGTTTGCTTGATACAGATGTTCTGTAGCACCGTAGCACTGTCCTCCCGTTGTTCATCAATTTGCTTGAGTGGGCCCAGTAACGTCTCCATGGTGAGACTTGTTGTTACTGTGTTTGGCATATCAAATACGTCACAGGTAGCTTGCCAGGCTTTGCCGTACTGGCGAGGTACTCTCAGTAGCTTGCTGGGCTCTCTGAGAGGGGCGGAGGAATCAAACTCGGGTCGGCCGGGTCAGCCACTTGCAAGGCAAACACCCTACCCACTGTGCTATTGCTCCAGCCCACAGACAGATGTTCATCCTGAAAATTATCATACTATGCCGTTTAAAACACAATTAAAAGATTGTGTCTTTCATGCATTCTTTTTGAAGAGATTAGGATTGAAGAGATAGTACAGCAAGTAAGGTGTTTGCCTTGCTCGGGTTCAGACCCTGGCATCTCATGTGATTCTCCTGAGCACTGCCAGGTGTGGCCTAAAAACAAAAAGAGAAAGTAGCACAGCGGGCAAGGCACTTATTTTGCATGTGACTAACCTGGGTTTATTTGCCAGCATCATACAGCATCCCTGCCTGGGCACAGCGGGCTGTAGCTCAGGAACATAACAACAAATGTATGAACATCTACCAAGTACTTAAAAGTGCAAATTTAAAAATAACTTAGATTATTTTTCTTACGTATAAGTTCATGCTTAAACTATTTCAGAATTTCATGTCAATCTAAAAATATGATATCTGGATTTACAGTTAGAAACATTGATTTTTACCTCGAACTCTGCCTTGTGTTTTTGATCAAGTCACAAAATCTTCAGACCTCATTTTCTTCGTCTTTAAAATAAGCAGCTTAGTACTGTCTCAGAATTCTTGTGAAGATTTTAGTAAGATAATAAATTTGGATGTACTTAATAAATGAAATAGAATACATCAGCGTGTGCAGTGACTAATTCTGTTATGTTGTAAAGATCACAGTCAATATAAAACAACTCTACCCAACACCAAGGAATTGCCTGAATTGGTTTTTAATATCTGGTTGGTACATTGATTGACTGATTGATTGGATTTTTTAGGCTTACTTTGTGAAATTCCATCTTCTTGAGACATTAATAGATACTACACTGAAGAAAATCCTAAGATGAAGAGATGTAACTTCAGATGAAAGCGCTAAACATGAACATTTCCATTTACACAGCAGTTACGAGCAATTTCCTTGCAATATTTTTATTGTGATAAAATATAAACAACAATTTATCATTTTTACCATTTTCTATTGAATCATGTTGTACTCTTAACTAAGCATATTCACACTGTTGAGAAACCAGCAGCACCATCTTAAATGAGATACATATTATTGACTATATTCCCCTTGCTGGACATTTATGTCCCCATAATATTTCTTTTATAGCTGGAAGTTTATTGGTCTAAATTCAGTCTGTTTCATTCCTTCTTCCCCCATCTCTAAATATGAGCAATTTCTAACTGTAAAATACTCCTAGACTTTGTTAATCAGAAGTAAAAATATAATCATCTTTTGGAAAAAGTTGCAAAGTTTTATATTTCAGATATTGGGGGAAATGGCTTCATACAGGCAGAATACTTGATTTTAATTTAATGAATGAATTTAATAATTTTAAATTCTAGCTAATTCTAGCTAGATGTTTCAATCTGCTGAAATTAGGTATGTCTTACAATTACAGAATAGCACACATTTCAAGAAATACTAGTCTTCAAGTGTATGATTTTGACAAATCTAGGTAAGTTCCCATTAAAGAAAAAGCATGCATTCTAAAGCAGATCAATGAAACTTAAGCAAAATTGCAAAGAAATTGAAATAGATGTGGACTTTGAAAACCTCCAAAGTTAGCGCTTTAATCCCTATAAGAGAAATGAAAGAGTAAAAGAATATGTAATAAACTCAATTATATTTGGATAATTGTTCTGCTGTGTCAGTTATCTTATGACCAGTAAAAGTACCCACTAAGATTCCACAGCATAAATTGTGCTCTTTATGATCATTAAATACAGTTCAAATTTTATTCTTGGGACATTTTTCTGTAACTATGAATCTAATGTTGTTCGGTAAATGAGAACAATATTGATTGTCATATGTCGCCCAAATCGATCATGCTGGCAGCCAGAATTACAGTAATCTGTCAGTATTGATGACTGTCTTTCAAGCTTTGAAACGTCTCCCTCACTTCACTTGTCATTTCTTGCATTACTTGTACTTGAAAAGCATTTTCTTGCAACCTCTGATTTTGTCAGCTACTTTTTCATGTCTCCTGTTCAGTTTGCTGGTTTGATCATGCAATTACAATTGAAACAGCAATAGGAAGGAAGACTAGGCAGATTCTAAGTAAACAGTTGACACTAAGAGGTATTTCAGTGTCATATTAACTATCATTATTAGTGCCAGTCAAAAGAATATCTTGGGGAGGGTTGCTTTTGCTCTTAATTTGTGTCTTCTGAGTTTGATGGGGTTTTTTGTTTGTTAGTTTTTTTGTTTGTTTTTAGTGTGAGGTTTTTTGTTGTTTCAAATTCTTGCTCTTTGTTTTTTGTTTTTTTGGGGGAAGGAAGATAATAATAATTCTGAAATATTAATTCCTTGGACCATTGATGTGTTTAGTGTTAGAGAACTAGCTTTACATGTGTGAGGCCCTGACTTCAATTACTGGCACCACCAAAAATAAGTTGGAAAGGCAAATTAATCTTAATCTTAGCTATTTTGAATCTATTCTTTAAATTAAAATTTAAAACAATCCTCTGATCCTGGGACATCTTGATTATAAGAATATTAAATATGTTGTGATATATGTACTTTTTGTGTCTAGGATTTATTATGCATAGAAATTTTCAAAAGTTACAGTATATAGTAATATACTAGAATACTCAAAAACCTCATCAATAGGTTATGTTTATATATGCGTCTTAAATATTGATTTTAAGGAATTGTGGACATAATTCTGGAAACTGGTGAGTCTGCAGAAATTACTTGGTAGACTTGATGTTGAAGTGTAGTGCAAAGACATCTCAGGTAAAATATTTTCTTTCTTTAAGGATTTTAAGTCTTTTAGGTCCTTAGTTGCTTGGATGAGACCCACCATGTTATAAAGGGTAGTCTGTTTTAAGTATCCTAATTTGAATAGTAATCACATCTTTAACAAAACCTTATAACACCATTTAAGACACTGTTTGATCAGGAGGCCAGAGCGATATTACAGCATGCTTTGCAAGCCTGTCTTGCATGCATTCAACCTGGGTTTCATCCCCAGCACCGTGTATGGCCCACTGAACACCAGTATTGATCCCTGAGTCTATAGCCAGGAGTACAGCTGAGTACAGCTGAGTGTACCCCCTGCAAAAAAAAAAAAATTACTGTTTGGTCAAAAACTCAGTATCATGACCAAACCAAGTTGTCATAAATTATCCATCTCACATATCCCATTTTTTATGTTTTTGTTTTTTATCCATATTATAAAATTGTTTGGGCTGGAGCGATAGCACAGCGGTAGGGTGTTTGCCTTGCACGCAGCCAACATGGCCAACCCGAGTTCGATTCCTCCGCCCCTCTCGGAGAGCCTGGCAAGCTCCCGAGAGTATCTCGCCCGCACGGCAGAGCCTGGCAAGCTCCCCGTGATGTATTCGATATGCCAAACACAGTAACAACAAAGTCTCCAATGGAGACGTTACTGGGCCCGCTTGAGCAAATCGATGATCAACGGGAGGGCCTTTACCTTTACCTTTTTATAAAATTGTTTGAGAAAAGTATATAAATCTAAATGTGTTCGCTTTGGCAGCACATAAAGTAAAATTGTAATGATACAGTGAAGATTAGCATGGCCTCTGAGCAAGAATGGCATGCAAATGTGAAGCGTTCTTTATTTTTCAGTAAAAATAATTCAAATGTTGTATAGTGATTAATAGCTTAAAATCTGTCAGCTTAAGAACTACACTTTTTTTTTCTGTCAGAAGTAATTAATGATCACTTACTTGGTAGTGGTAAAAATTTTGAGAAATGCAAGAACATGTCAGATGGCAATCTTGTTTTTAGTAGTACACTTGTAACTTAATGAGCAAAGTGTAATACAGACATTAATATTTTAGTGTATTATAGTGACAAAATGGCTCACTGGTTAAAGATAAAATGCTGAGAATTCTAAGGTAGAAGATATTCTGAGTCTGTAAATCAGGGAAGAATGTATAGAAAAATCTGAGTTTCAAATAAGTTATTTTTGAGTAGAGAGAATGCAGTATGTTTTTTATATAATTCATACAACATTTGGAACATTATGTGTATGTATATATGTCATTCTGAAATGTAATTCTAAAATGTTACTTTATACACATATAAAATTAAGTGGCATCTTTTTAAAAACACTGTTGCTTATTTTAATATTCTTTTGTACCAGACCAATATTATTTGATTTCTTCTAATCTGTTTAGATTTGACTTTTTCTTAAATGCCAGAATCGGGTTTCTGTTTAACTTTATCAGACAAATTACCACAAGTCAATGATCATTCTTCAATTAGTCACAGTTTGTAGTCCCTGCAGTTCTACTACTCAGATGTAAAGAATCTATTGCAAAAGTATGAGAGCCAAAACAAAATGAAATACAATTGATTGGCTTCACTAATGCAGTTTGCCTTTCATTATGGTAGAACATTATAAAACCTCTCAGGGAGGCTCATCGATATTGCTACCATATCATTCTTGAAGACAGTGAGTTTATTGAGAAACTACATAATTTTATGTAAAGACTGTCTTTGATATATTATGTCTTCAAAAGATAATATTGTTAAGTAAAAACTATAATTTATACATTAGTTACATTTTAAAATATGGAAGCTGATTGTTTGAAAATCAGTATGGGTTCACAAAACTATATACTAAAAATGCCAGAACTTTTTTAGCTGTAAAAAGACAACCAAACACAGGATTGTTCTAAGGGATTATGAGATTATCCACATGAAGCACTAAGCAGCTTGTCATGTTACAAGAGCTCAGAAAATGATTGTAAGTTGGTAATTGATGGTGTTATTATTATCCTCCATATCTATGCTAGAAAGTCTTCTAAGACCAAAAAAAAATTTTAAAAATCTACATATTCTAAAAGTCTAACAATGGGTCTTAACTTCTGTATTTCTTGTCTAGATTTTTTTTGCCTATGAACAACTCCCAGCTTTATACTTCTCACTGTAGTTTGTCAAACAAACTTTCATTCCTCCCTTTCTTTACCACACCCTTACCCTCATGTTTCACTACACTGACACTCAGGACACCATATGCGTGTCCATTTAAAATATACTTACTAGGGACTGGAGCAATAGCACAGCGGATAGGGCGTTTGCTTTGCATGCAGCCGACCAGGGTTCAATTCCCAGCATCACATATGGTCCCACAAGCGCTGCGAGGAATAACTCCTGAGTGCATGAGCCAGGAGTAACCCCTGTGCATCGTTGAGTGTAACCCAAAAAGCAAAATAATGAAAATAAAATAAAATATATTTATTATCCTTGGATGGCTTTATAGCTCAAAATTCCCTCTCTTTTCACCTAATATTATTTATTCTTCATGACCCAAATAAGATAATTTTGAAAAAATTATAGGATTTATTTTTCTGTGCATATTACGTATCTTTTTTTTAAAAAAATTAGATTTCAACATAATGCTACACATCTAGTGGCTAATTATAGTAAGACAGTGTAAATAGGACTGGAGTTATACAACAGTGGGTAGGGCAATTGTCTTGCACACAGCTCACCTGGGTTCAGTTGCTGGCACTCTATATGGTCCCCCAAACCCCCAAGAAGTAATACCTGAACAGAGACAGGAATAAGCCCTGAGCACTGCTGGGTGTGACCCCAAAAAGTACATTTTTTTTAAAATCGTGTTAATGGACTTATGGATGGATGGATTCCTAATAATTTTTTTCTCTTGGACAGTTGCTATTAATTTATTTGCTTATATTTTTTAAGTTTATTACAGGTTTTAATATCAGTTATTTTTGTTTTTGTTATAGTTTGTGCTTTTGTATTAGACTGCATTGCAACTATAAGAGCATGCTGGATAGGTGAATAAAGAAGAAACCTAGAAGCAAAAGAAATTGTCTCTAATACATAATAGCAAATGTAAACAAGTATTTTGTATTTTTACTGATTATCAGTTTATTTTTATTTTAGCATATGATAGTTTTGAAAGATTAGCTGTCAGCAAGGTTTTTTCTTTACTTCCATTTCTATGGTGGGGAGAGAGATGGGAGTTGCACCCCAAGAAGGAACAACCCAAATGCTTTATGGCAAGGAAAGTGGTAGCCACGGGAGAAAAAAGACAGAGGAAGGGATAGCTGTGGGGACCTAGATAATGCTGAGGCCTTCAGTTTTACTCTTGAATCTTGTGCCTCTTACATCTTTGATGCCACTGAGAGTTCCCAATCCCTTTAAACGCCATTTATTCTTCATACTTTTTTTTTGGGCTCACACCCAGCAGAGCACAGGGGTTACTCCAGGCTCTTCACTCAGGAATTACTCCTGGAGGTGCTCGGGGGACCATATGGGATGCTGGGAATCGAACCCCAATCGGCTGCATGCAAGGCAAACTCCCTACCCACTGTGTTATCGCTCCAGCCCCTCTTCATACTCATTTTTTATTTACAATCTATAGTTGTGGTGATTCATGCTTCTAGAGAAAGCTAATTATTTACATGTCTCACCAATGATACATTTCCAGGTCTTTGAACGGCTTACGGCCATTTGCCTACTGTATCAGTCATTTCAGGAGGGCCTCTCCAAAGACATTCTTACTTACCTGCAGTCTCCTCTGTTAGGAGCATTCATGACTGCTGTGCTAAAGGTACAAGCATTGCTACTGATAAAGTTTTTGCCAGAAAGCATGTAATTAAATACCTCCTTGGCCTGGATTTTGCTGTCAAACATTATGGTCAGTGTATACAAGCAGAATAATTACATAAGCAGGGATCTTGGATTTGTCTAATTCTCTTACAGCAGCCAATATATTCTTTATCACATCAGTTTTAATTTGCTCAACTGTTCTTTCTGAGGAATAGAAATATATGCTTATTGATCGTGTTGTTGGTATTTTGAGGGGAATTCTCAGTGATCATTGTAGAAATATTTTTACATGTATTTAAAAGGTCTTTTTTATTAAATCAAAAAAGTCTCTGGAATTGAGCCAGTATGTCTGAAAATAGCATTGTCTGTCAGCATTCTCTAGAAAATAGTCTTTTTTTAAGGTTTTGCGAATATGAAAAAAATAAGAATGACTTTTCCCACATTTGAGCCATGAATACTCATAAAAATTACTTCTGCATTTGGCCAACTCTATTAACATTCTGCTGTTTCTATATGTACTTTAAATTTTTTACTTTTACTGCCAAGAACTTAATAAACTAATGGCAAATATAAATAATAAAAATGGTAATCTTCACTTCCAAAAAAGGCCTTTTGTAGTTAAATTTTCAGACATATTGATTCATTGTCATATTAACCCATTGTTTTGGAGGGTGGAGTCACACTCCTAGTATGGTCAATGGATCATTTACTGTACGTGGATCTGAATCAGTGTTAAAACCGCAGTCACATCCATGCAAGGCAAGTGCCTTTACCTCTGTACTATCTCTCCAGCCCTATATATCTACATGTTTCCTGTCTTTCCCGTTAACTCTTCTTTGACTACCTGATCTATAGGGGCCATTATGAGGGAAATTCTTGGAGTGAAAAAAAGGATTCCCTGATTTCAAAAAAACCTCCTCTAGTGCGTGAGGGAGAAGGACAACTCTGGAATGGAGGGAGAGTGGGAGAGATGGGGGAGGAAGGAGGAAGGCGGGAGGAAAGCAGGACATACATTCTGATAGAGTGCAGTAGTCATGATATCTGCACAGTAGGGTGACTAAGGAGATTACTTAAAATAGGAAAGGGAAAGGAAAAAAATGCCAATGACTCTACTGGGGAAAACTGATTCTTTCTGCTAAAGTAGTCAAGGAGAAGGAAAACCAATATAAATTTACAGTGTTACACAAAACTATAACAACCAGTATCTAAAGGTGACAGATTCTTCTAGATTTTGTGTTGGTTTTGGTTTGGGGGCCATACCTGGCAGTGTTCAGTTCTTACCACTGGCTCTGTGCCTATGGATCACTCCTGGTGGCACCTTGGGTACCATGTACCACGCCTGTGACAAAACCCATCAGCTGTGTATAGACACCCTACCCGCTATGTTGTCTTACTGGCCCCTGTTTTGTATAATTTTTACTATATGAAAGCCATTGTAAGCAAAGATGAGTAGCAAAACACAACTTTAAATGTATTACTTCCCTTTTCTAATGAAATAAAAAAATATGTTCATGACTTTTATAGTTTATTTTTATAATTATTAGTTGTACAGCAATGCTAAGTTAATAGCAGTAATAAGTAGTCCTCCTTAATGAAATGAAGAATGTCTAAGCATTTTATAATATTTGTACTTAGGTGCCATTTAAATAATTTTCAAATGTTCATAATTCTTATTTCAATATATTCCTTGCTTTTTAACAAGCCCTTTTTATGCTGTAACTAATTTTATACGTTTTTGTTCTTCACACATCATTTACTTTTAGGTTATTGATGAAGTACTTGTACATTAGCTTCTATCGAAAATAGCAAAGTAAAAGAGAGCACTGCCACCATCTTATCTGTTTTGTCAAATCAAGTGTGACAGTGTGGTCCTTATGCCAATCCCAACAGTTGTGTCTTATCATAGTACACCAGAAGGAAGATAGAGAACTCTGTTTGGGCTGGGCTGTTTCCTAATCACAACCCTTGAATTTCTCTACTTCATCTGAATTAACGTCTCATCTGGTCTAGAATAGGGATTTTTTTTTTGATTTCTT